AAACAAGGAAAGCCAAGAAAAACAGTAAGGGAAACAATTCAAACTGTTCAAGGCTTAAAAGCTGGAAATAGAGACAAAAAAAAAAAAAAACCTCACAATATAAGGGAATGCTGTAATTTAAAAAGATGGGTAAATGACCAGAAACTACAGATGCAAGCATAACCAACACAGTACAAGAGATAGACCAAAGACTCTCAGGTATTGAAAGTACACAAGGAGAAATAGATTCACTGACCAAAGAAAATCTTTAAGTCCAACAAATCCCTAACACAAAATATCCAGGAAATATGGAATATCATGAATAGACCAAACCTAAGAATAATAAGAATAGAAGAAGGTGAAGAAACCCCATCTCAAAGGTATAGAAATCATATTCAACTAAATCATAGAAGAAAACTTTCCCAACCTAAAGAAATAAAAGTACAAGAAGCTCATAGAAAACAAAATAGAGTGTACCACAAAAATATGTTCCCTTGCCACATAATAATCAACACACCCAACACACAGAATAAAGAAAAAATATTAAGAGCAGCAAAGGGAAAAAGCCAAGTAACATATAAAGGCAGACTTTTCAGAATTACACCTGACTTCTCCATGAAAACTCTGAAGGCCAGAAAGTCCTGGATAAATTTTCTACCAACACCAAGAGACCACAGAGGCCAGCCCAGACTATTATATCCAAAAAAGCTTTCAATCACTATAGATGGAAAAAACAAGATATTCCCATGACAAAACCAGATTTAAACAATACATATCCACTATTCCAGCCCTACAAAACATTCTGGAAGGAAAACTCCAACCCAAGGAAGTCAACTACACACACACAAAAAAACATAGGCAATAGATAATCCCACTTTACCAACAGCCAAAAGAATAAAACCTCACACAATTAGAAGGGGGGGACTTCAACACCCTACTCTCACCACTAGACAGGACCATCAGACAAAAACTTAACAAAGAAACAAAGGAACTAACAGAAGTTGTGACCCGATTAGGTTTAATAGATATCTATACAACATTCCATCCAAACACAAAAGAATACACCTTCTTCTCAGAGCCACATGGAACTTTCTTTAAAATCAACCACATACTCAAGAACATAGGAAAGCCCAACAGATACCAAAATAAAAAATAAAAAAATAAAAAATAAAAAAAAATGGAATAACCCCCTGTACATTATCGGACCACTATGCTTTAAAATTAGAATTCAACAACAACACAAATTTCAGAAACCCTGCAAACTCATGGAAATTGAAAAATGCACAATTGCACCACTCCTGGGTCAAGGAAGAAATAAAAAAAATTTAATTCCCAGAATTCAAAGAAAATAAAAACACAACATACCTAAATTTATGGGACACTTTGAAAGCAGTGGGAAGAGGAAAGTTCATTGCACTAAGTGCCCACACGAAGAAACTGGAGAATAGTCATACTAGAGAATTAACAGCACAACTCACCCCAGGGAAGTAGACACCAGGAAATAATCAAATTGAGGGCTGAAATAAATAAAATAGAAAGAAAGAAAACAATACAAAGAATCAATGCAACAAAGAGTTGGTTCTTTGAGAAAATCAACAGGATTGACAAACGTTTATCCAAATTAATCAAAAGACAGAGAAAGAACACACAAATTAACAAAATCAGAAATGAAAAGGGGACATAGCAACAGATACTAAGGAAATCCAGAGATTCATCAGGTCATAGTTTGAAAACCTATACTCCACAAAACTTGAAAATTTAATGGAAATGAAAAATTTTATGGATAGATATCACTTATCAAATTAAATCAAGAACAGATACGCAATTAAAATAGACCTATAACCCCTAATTAAAACAGTCATCAAAAGTCTCCCAACCAAAAAAAACTCATGACCAGATGGTTTCAGTGAAGAATTCTACCAGAAATTCAAATAACAGCTAATAATAAAACTCCTCAAAGTGTTCCACACAATACAAGCAGAAGGGTCATTTGCAAACTCTTTTTACAAGGCTACAATTACCGTGGTACCCAAACCACACAAAGACACAACTAAGAAAGAGAACTACAGACCATGAATATTGATACAAAAATACTCAATAAAATACTGGCAAATTGAATCTAAAAACACATCAGAGAAATCATCCACCATGATCAAGTAGGCTTCATACAGGGATGCAGGGATGGTTCAACATACAAAAATCCATCAACACAATCCACCATATAAACAAACTGAAAAAGAAAAACCACATGATCATCTCACTAGATGCTGAAAAAGCCTTTGACAAACTCCATCACCCCTTCATGATAAAGGTCTTGGAGAGATCAGGTTTAACAGGAACATACCCAAACATAATAAAAACAATATACAGCAAACCAACAGCCAACATCAAACTAGAGAGAAACTCAACAGGATTCCTCTAAAATCAGGAACAAGACTATCCACTTTCTCCATGTCTCTTCAATATTGTATTTGAAATTCTAGCTAGAGCAATAAGGGAAAAAAAAAAAAAGAGGTCAAGAGGATACAAAGTGAAAAGGAAGAAGTCAAACTTTTACTATTTGCAGATAATATGATAGTTTACATAAGTGGCCAAAAAAAGCTCTACCAGAGAACTCCTACAGCTGATAAACACCTTCAGCAAAGTGGCAAGATACAAGATTAACTAAAAAAATCAGTAGCCCTACAATATACATACAATAAATGGGCTGAGAAATAAATCAGAGAAACAACACCCTTTACAATAGCTACAAACAACATAAAATATCTCGTGGTAATGCTAACCAAACAAGTGAAAGACGTGTACAACAAGAACCCTGGAGTCTTTAAAGGAAATTAAAGAAGATACCAAAAAGTGGAAAAGATTCCCCATGCTCTTAAATAGGTAGACTCAACATAGTAAAAATGACAATCTTGCTAAAAGCAATCTACAGATTCAATGCAATTCCTATCAAATCCCAGCACAATTCTTCATAGTCCTTAAAGAAACAATCCTCAACTTTTTACAGAAAAACAAAAGACCCAGGATAGCAAAAACAACCCTGTACAATAAAGGAATTTCCAGAGGCTTCACCATGCCTGATTTTAAGTTCTAGTATAGAACTATAGTACTGAAAACAACTTGGTATTGGCACAAAAAAGACAGATAGACCAATGGAATCTAGTTGAAAACCCTGACATTAACCCACACATCTGATTTTTGACAAAGAAACTAAAATTATACAATGGAACAAAGAAAGCATCTTCAACAAATGGTGCTGGCATAACTGGATGCTGGCCTGTAGAAGACTACAAATAGGTCCATATTTATCACCATACACAAAACTTAAGTTCAAATGGATCAAAGACCTCAGCATAAATCCAGCCACACTGAACCTCTTAGAAGAGAAAGTGGGAGGTACCATTGAACGAACTGGTACAGGAGATGGCTTCCTGAACATAACAACAGTAGCATAGGCATTGAGATTGACAATTAATAAGTAGGCCCTCCTGAAACTGAGAAGCTTCTGTAAGGCAAAGGACACAATCAACAAGACAAAACAGCAGCCCACAGAATAGAAAAATATCATTATCTAACAGAGGACTGATTACCAAAATATACAAAGGACTCATGAAGCTAGTCATCAAAACACTGAACAATGCAAATTAAAAAGTGGGGTACAGAATTATCAATGGAGGAATCTAAAATGGCTGAAAGACACTAAAGAAAGTGCTCAACATTCTTAGCCATCAGGAAAACGCAAATCAAAACAACTCTGAGACATCATCTTGCACCTGACATAATGGCTAAAATCAAAACACCAATGATAGCTTACGCTGGAGAGATGTGGAGAAAGGGGAATGCTCTTCCACTGCTGGTGGGAGTACAAACTCATACAGCCACTTTGGAGATCAGTATGGTGGTTCCTCAGGAAAATGGGAATCAGTCTACCACAGGACCCAGCAATCCCGCTCTTAGGCATATACCGAAAGAATGCACATTCATATAACAAGGATGTCAGTTCAAGTATGCTCATAGCAGCATTATTTGTAATAGCCAGAACCTGGAAGCAACCTAGATGCCCCTCAATTGAAGAATGGATAAATAAAAAGTGGTACTTTACACAAGGAAGTACTATTCAGCAGGAAAGAAAAAGAAAAAAAAAAAAAAAACAATGGAATCTTGAAATTCACAGGTAAATGGATGCAACTAGAAGAAAACCATCCTGAGTGAGGTAACCCAGTCACAAAAATAGGAACATGGTATGTACTCACTCATATATGGATATTAGATGTAGCGCAAAGGATTGCCAGCCTACAATCCACACCTCCAGAGAAGCTGGGAAACAGAGGACCATAAGAGAGATATACATGATCCCCAGGAGAAGGGGAAAGGGGGAGCTCATGGACCCCAAACTGACAACTTGGAAAACATCATAGGATAAAACCAGGAACCCTGCACGTGGGTAACAGTTAGGAAGCCTAGGCAGTCCATGGGGCCCCTGGTAATAGAACAGCATTTTTACTTAGTGTACGAATGGACATTGTAGCCCACTCTCCATAGAGGGATACAATCCCTGCCCAGACACATTGTGGAGGGCCTGCCCCAAATGATGTGACAGACTTTGATGATCCCCCATAGAAAACCTCACCCTTTCTATGGAGCAGAAGAGGGATGAGATGGAGGTCAGTGGGGGGGCATGGGAGAATGGGAGGGAGAGGGAACTGGGATTGATATATAAAATAAAATTGTTTCTAATTTAAATAAAAAATATAATTCAAAAAATTAGTTTAATTTATCCTGAATTTGGAGGGAAGGAGAGGGACAAATCTAGTTCACTTAGACCAAAGGTTTTATAAATTTCAAAAGGCTCTAAATGATTGAGTAAAAGTTTTTGCTTTTCAAATAGGAATTTCAAAACTTCAGTTTTTCTTACATCAAGGGAGGTAAGGTAAGAAGTGCCAAAAATAACAAAGCAACATAAATCACTTGTAGTTTTTAGAAAGAGGTCACACAGTATGAAAAAGGCAGATTACACATACCCTTGTTCATCTGGGGCTTACTCTCTTCCTCCATGTCCACATCTTCTAAGTCTAAGAAGTTGTCTACCTACAAAAAGATTGACATTATTTTGGGTATATTAGACATGAAGAAAAGCAATGTAGTCAGGGATCCATGCACACAGCTGAAGGCTGGACCTGCTTCCCTCTGACCTCTCAAGGTCCAGTTAAAAGCCACTATATGCAGATGCTTTCCCATCTGTAGGAACATGACATTGGCAAGTGCAGGACTTTAAACATGACACACAGCCTGTTCTCCACAGTGAAAGAGAAAACAGGCTTGGAATTCTTATTCCAAATTTTCTTCCCAAAACTTTTAACACCGCTATCAGAGGAGAGAGCAGGTTCTGGGTTTGGGTGTTCCTTACTTCTCAAGCAACCAGTGATGGCGGAGGTGGTGGACCACCACCCTTCCTTGCAGCATACTTTCTTACAGCACTCTGGAGAGCCAGAGAGAGGAAATTAAGGAGAGCAGGATCCTGCCCAGGTAAATCACAGGAGAGGCAAGCAGGACAAAATATCAAGTGTTATCTCTTTCAAGCAAATAAAACAAAGAATTGCTTCAAAGGTAAAAAGCACAGCAAAAGACCATCACAGACCCAATAGCAGCATTTCAATGAAGAACTATTCTGCCTGGACCACCACTTCCCACTGCACACTGACAATGAGGCATCTCAGGGAAATATCAAATAAGAAAATTCTGGCACACGGCATGGAGTAAAGACTCAAGGTCGTCATCCATTTGATGCTCACAACCTAAACATAGACCTGAAAAAAGACCTTAAACTTACAAATTGAGATTCATTAACTGTAATTCAAGATAAGCTCTCCTAAGCTGAATATGGAATGTGTAGTAGGCAGATTATACTGACCTCCCAGAGAGTGAAAATGGTGCCTTCCATGCTTCTAACCTAGTAACAGCAAGGATTACTTAGTATGCAAACTCAAAATCAAAATTCATATGATAGTTTCAATATTAACATTTGAGAATCAGTTATACTGCAGCATCTTTAACAATTAAGACTAAACTTCCCTTCCCATTTGTTAAACCTTAAAGACAAAAGATCTAGCACCCAATCAAGCACAAACAGTTTAAGATGTTCCAACCCTGGTTTAAAAGAAGAAACCCTTTCAAGGATAAAATCTGGTGAAACTCCAGTTTGGTACAAAGAAAAGCGAGAGTCTAATGTTTGTCTGTTGGTTTGTGTGGTAGTTTGAATGAGCACTGTCTCCCAAAGGCTCTAGTAATTGAATACTTGGTGCCAATTGTTGATGCTGCCTGGAGAGGTTTGGGAGGCAAAGCCTTGCTGGGAGAAGTCTGTCACTGGAGGTGGGCTTTGTGAGTAGAAATCCTTGCCTACTTCTAGCTCGTTCTCTGTGCTTCCTGCTGCCTGCTGCTTGTTATTATGCCTCCCCACCAAGACAGACTTTTATCTGTGTACTCTTTCAAAGTTGCCTCGGTCATGGTGAATCATCACAGTAACAGAAAAGTTGCTAATATAGTTCATTTGTTTGCTGTGTGTTCTTCCCAAGGCAGAGTATTGAATGCAGCCTTACCTTCACCTTTCCAGCCCGGGTCATATCACCTTGAAGGGAGCTGCCAACTTGCTGGCCTTCATCAATCAATATCTGAAAACACAGTAAGGACACACGGTCAGGAAATAGTTTCTGTTCCTAGCAATATATGAAAGACCAGAGTCTCTAAGCTATAGCAATGGTTTCAGCAAGTCTAACTGAAATTCTGGTACCCTAGTCTCATCCAGCATATAGCAGGTAACTTAACTCCAGCATGCTTGTGTATAAAACAGACAGCTGCTCCACCTCCAAGTCCACTCCTCAATGAACCTCCATACAAAAATCAGAGATTGCTGTTACAATGTAACAATTCTAGGACTCCCTATATTTAATATGATCTCAATCTTCACCAGTAGAGTGTGAATCCTTTATGGGAAAACAGCTCATATCTCCCAGCCATCAATAGACGCAAGCTCTAAGAAAAGGGATTATAAACCTCTTCTACACAAACACATTTTTTATCACAGATCCTTCTGACCCTTATAAAATCAAAAACTCATTTAATTCTGTCCATAATATCACATGGAAAACATTGCAAACAAGAAAGAGAAACTCAAATATTTTTTAAAAAATTAATCAAGACTTAAATGGCTTGAATAGAGAACACTATGAATTCTCATTCCTTAATAATTAAACACGATAGCCAAAGAGGTAATGAATATTGTTATGAGGTCTTAATGACTGCAGAATAGCATCTAATATCTACAAACCAAATCTTAGAAAAAGCAAGATAATGGCTTCCACTTTAAGTCTAAATGTGATAAGTTTGGGACAAAAAAAATGTAGGACCAGTTTATACAAAGAAATAGAAAAGGAAACTCTCTTGTTAAAAACAAAATAAATAATTTCATGAAGTATCTACACATGGCAGATTCCTAAGAAGTTTTTATCAAAAGCTGAGGATTACCAAACATGTAATGACTCAGTTATCAGCAGAATGCTACTCCCCTGGTCTCTTTTCCTGGGAACAATGCTTTCTTCTTCAAGTGATTTCTGTAAACACAAGACAGGATTACCTGGTCCTCTTCTGAGCATTCGGATGAAGTATGCGGAAGGATGGGCATATTTCTAAAGTGATGACCATTGGATTCATTTTTATGGGTCAATTTTTCAGCAGTGAATATATTTTCTGATGAATCGATTCCATGTGATCTCCCTTTCACCACAATATCCTCTGAAATGGTAAGTCATGAATTATTAAAAACACCCACTGTGGTCAGGTTGTTTCTTTTGTGTGTTTTACTGAAAAGGTTTCTTCTCTCTCCACCCCCAAAAAAGAATACTTCCCAAAGAACTATATAAGTAGGAGTTTCTTCAAACCCTAGCTACTCTTAAATATAGATAACACTCCTTCAAAGACTGATGAATACTGTCCACTACCAGAGGAACTAGGATACAAGGTGAATTCTAAGAGATTCATATATGGTCCCTCACAAAAGGGGGAAGGGATAAGTCCCCCAGAGCACATGAGATGTAGGGGGGCAGTGAATGGAGAGAGAAGTAGGAGAAAGAGAAGGGGAGGAGAGGAAAGCATGCACGACTAGGAAGATTGAGTCAGGGTAGGAATAGAAGACAGAAAAGAGAGAGAGACAGACAGACAACATAAAAGAGGGAGCCATTATCGGCTTGAAGAGAAAACTGAACCTAAAGAAAGGTCTAGAGACCTACAAGAGCGACTCCAACTAACAATTTGAGCAACCATGGAAAGGCTATCATAAATGCCCTTCCCGGATAGTGAGATCAACAACTAACTTATCCACCATCATAGAGCCCTCATCTAGTACCTGTTGGAAACAGAAGCAAATACCCATAACTAAACACTGAGTCGAATTAGAATCCAGATACAGAGAGAGAGGACAAGACCAGGTTGCAGAAACACATAAAGACAGCTGACCTGAACAAGGAGGAGCTAATGCCCCCCCCCAGACTGATAGCTGGGAATCCAGCATGGGACTGACTCAGACCCCCTGAATATGGGTCTCAGCTAGAAGGCCTGAGCAGTCTAAGGGACCTCAGACAGTGGAGCCAGGATGTATTCCTGGTGCACAAAAGGACCTTGTGGGCACATCCCCCATGGAGGGATACTACCTTTACCTAGAGACAGGAGAGAAGTCCTGGTCCCTACTTCAAATGACTTGACAGATTTACATGACCCCACTGGATAGCATAGCCCTACATGTGGAATGAGGGTGGGGGAATAGGAGGAGAGGGTGGTCAGGGTGCATGTGAGGGGGGAGAGAGGGTAAGAGGGAAGGAGGGAGAGGGAACTGTGATCGACATGTAAAATAATAATAATAATAATAATAATAATAATAGTAAATGTAAAAAAAGAAATAAAAAATAGAGTCAAGTTTCCCTTGGTTCTCAAGGTAACTGAGTAGCAGTAGAGTGACATACATGGTGATGCTTAGAAACAGGATAAGCTACTGAGGGATGAACAGATGCCTCAAGCTTCACCAGAGAAAGAATGGAAGGTTTCCTGTGGCTCCCACCATTCCTTAGCACACTGCTGGCAATGAAAGGAACTGTTTTAGTCCTGCTAGGTCTCTTTTAAGTCAAACAAACCTAAATATGGTATTTACCAAGAAAATCTTGCATACCCAACTCAACACTCCTGAACTAGTTAATTGACTAAAATACTTGAAAAGCACCGTGGTATCTGAAATAGACATTCTGCAATGACAGGTTATATATGTTCACAGGTCACTCAGTGTACTCCTCTCTCAATTCCCAATAAAATGCCCAGGGTACCTGATAGGTCACCAGATGAAACTCCTTTGAAATAAAGTGAAGCCCAAGCTCCTGGTGCTGTTAATTAAATTACTAATAATAGTCAGTCCCAGATCCAACAAAAACGCTACTCTTTAAAAGTCCACCCTCTTGTAAATGTGAAGTTGTTATCTTTAAAATACCAAGGACTCAGAAAAGCACTTTTCCTCTCCATGATTAAACATAGAGTTAAAAGTGCCATCCTAAACCTTCACAAAGACCCAAAAAGTGCTTTTGCATACAGGCTTTTTATTGGTTTTTAAACCTAGTAAATAATAAATCTCTTGGCAGAATGAGATGAGAACAAAGTTCCTTTTCAATATGATAATGTCAAGATGGCAGATGTTGGCACAGTCCAGACTCGGAAGTGGCCAGCAGCCTGATTAGAACAGATGCTGCTTCCCAGAGTGAGCCTGGTGGCAATGCACACGTGCCACCCAACTGTTCATTGCTTCTGCTTCTGTTTTCATCAGAGTCCTTTTCTACCCTTTCATCTTATCCCTAATGCTCCTTGCTTTGAAATGCATGTGAGGCATAATACAATGAGGAAGTCTAACGGCAGTGTCTCAGCGAACACACAGGTCACAGAGGCCTGAAAGAGCATTTCTTTGGGCATTTCTGAATCAAACTTCAATAAAGATTAGAAAAAGTTTTTTTTCTAAAGGTTTTCAGAGGTTTCATTATTCTGAAGTGATGGAATTTCAATTTCCCTTTGATACCAAACAGACAAGCCTCCAACAGGTCAGACTTACAAGCCCATCTACACCTCCAACGTCTAATTTCGGACCAGAGAGAAACGCTGCACTCCTTGAAAAAAGTGGAAAGTTTGGATGCCAAGGTAAATTATTCTTTACAAGGTAAAGTGCATGTTGATTACACCTTCCACGTAAAAGTTATTATTTTGGGAGAGCTCATTTTTGAGGGGAACTCCTATAAAAAAATTAAATTCTTCTATACAAAAGCCAAAGCAGTGTCTGTGTACAGAAAAGCATTTCCACAAATCAGCATTCTGACCAGTGTCAGAATCGAAGATCAAGTCCTGCCAGCCACCTCGAAGTATCCATTCTTCTGTAATGTGGGCACCAGCAATATAAATCAAGTGCATGTTCTCAGTCACAACAAGATACTGAATGCATTGCTGGAAGGAAAGAAATACCCAAGTGGGAAATGCTCTGTGCAACACTAGGCAGCTCCAAATAACCTTCTGCAAAGAGAATAGGGGCTAGGCAATCAAGCTTGTACCAAGGTTAGGTATCTGAAAATCTGGGGTGATTTTCACATTACATTTGAGTCCAAGGCATTGTTCCTCTGGACAATAACATCGTCTCTTGATTTGTCTGTGCAAACTCCTCCACACCACTGTTTCTTGCTTTCAGGCTCTTCTTCATATCTGGCCTCCCCTGGAGCCATAGTCGTAGGATTAAATAAGCAATTTAAAAACCAATCAATCATTAAATCAGAATAAATCCAAGGAAGCGCACTTTAGCACATGAGTGTTTTGTCTAAATTCCCTTTGCAGTGCTCTGAATTCCAACTGTTTTATATTCTCCATCTGAAAGGGCACAAGGAGGGGAGGATTAGCACAGCCTGGCCTGTCAGGAATAATTGTGCTTTCCCTGAGGCTGGGTGATAATTGACTCATTAGTCACCGTCATAGCTATCAACCTGCCAATGCACAAATGCACAAGCTGGCTTGGGAAAAAAATACATATATATGTCGAAAGCCCTAGATGAGGGACACCACAATACTAAGATGGAATTTTTGAAAGGTCTAGTGTTATTCACTTAGAGAAAGGAAACTGTGGAGAGAGTGTAAGGTTGCTAAAATTTTATTATTTGTGTTCAAGAAGGAAATCTGATTAGTAGGGTCCTGAAGCTTAAGTCCAAAAGTGATAGTCTGGGCATCAAGTATGTATAAGATAAGAAAGACAACTAAAGCTCAGTCCCTGCTCTTACAGAGTAGTCAAGCTGGGAGGTTAAGTCACATATGCAGACACCTAGAGAGAAGGCATCTGTGACAAACCACACAGGAAAGGTACAAAGTCAGAACACGGCAAAATGGTAACTGGCTTTTGAAATCATAAAAAGCTTCCCTAGAGAGGGCCTAGCCCCTACTCCAAATGACTTGACAGATTTTGTTGACCCCTCCTGGAAGGCATCATCCTACCTGTGGAGTGGGGGGGGGGAGGTGGGAGGGTGGGAGAGAGGGAGGGAAGGCAGGAGGGAGAAAGAGGGAACTGAGATTGGTATGTAAAATAAGAAAGGAAAAAAAAAAGCTTCCCTAGAAATCAGTCTGGTGAGGTGGGCTTTGGAAGAAGTTGACAAGTTCAGTAGGTTTGTTTATTCCATGGGGAGGTTGGGAGGTGGTAAACTCCTAAATGAAGCTTCCAGGGCCAGAAGGCCAGGGCCTTAGGTGGAGCCGTGAATCTTCCAGGAAGACTGGCATAAACGTTCTGTGACATGTGAACGGTATATTTGGAGAGCTCATATAAAACTCTGCACTTGACCAAGGGGGTTGGTCAGTGTCAAGCTGTGCTCCACAGAGAGACACAGTAGAGCAGACAGGCTAGGTCATAGAGGCAGGAGAGTCACGTGACAGGTGAAGCACACACTGTATTGTCTGCTCTATAACACAGGTGAGAAGTAAAAGAAGCTGCAGCTACAGAGAGGCAGCGATTTAAGAGGAAAAACAAGCCTGCAGAGTGAGTTCTTTTTATGTTTCTAAAACAGAAAGAAGACACTATCTCCCATGGTTGTTTCCCCCTCTAGATATCACAGACTATGTTCCTCATCATCCCACCAGTCTTCTACATTCAAATTGGCACGTCCTTGGTAACTGTCTCTTCGTCTCTGTGATGGAAGATGTAGATAATACAGTGTGCTTGTAACCTGTCAGGTGAACCAGAATTTTATACGGAGGCCACATATACCCACCTGACAAGCTGAGCTGAGCTATTTTTCCCAACTGATTTAGTCGGGGCCACAGAATAACTTGAGCCACCATGCAAGCAAATACAGCATTATTTGAATGTTGCTTCCCGAAGCTTTGGCCTCCTCACCTCAGGGTGAAAGCTTCTGGTCACGGGGTCTACAGAAGGTAGACTCCATGGTATCTGAGAAGTTCATTTGCTGTACACACAATCCACTTGAACTGATTCTTCAGATTAGCACACAAAGTATTAACTTCCATTCAGGCGCTGTCCTTATCTTTATGAAACTACTAGCTAATGTGCAGTTCATCCCCTTGGTACGGAATGTTCACACACATACTACTAGACTCTTCTTGCTCTTGAGCTAAACCTGTGATGTCATATGGTGAAAAACTCAGAGAGGGACTCTAAGTGTTCATGAGAAACATGTATCTGCACCTTTCCGCAGCCTTATCCAGGTGTAACTTGAATACCA